GCTGACAAACCCAGACCAGATCTTGTTTAATCTGAATAAAAACCACCCTCAGGCACTCCAGAAATGCATTTAGCAGCGAAAGGAAGAAAAAAACCAAATTATGAATCAAAACAATTTGCATTAAACAGCACAAACTTGATGGAATAACATCGTGGGGGCACTCCCGGCCTGGGAAAACATCCCAAAAATGGGAATTTTGGGGCTGTGAGCTGTTGCATTCCCGAGGCTGGTTTGGGAATTTCTGTGTCAGCACCAGCTAAGCTGCTTTTCCTTCTGCTCCCTGCACAGGGACAAAATGAAAATAATGGAAATAATGGAAATAATGGAAATGGGATTGGGCTGGGAGAGGCACAAAACAACAGCAGCAAACACAGCCAGGCTCAATCCCCGAGGAAGGGATTTGGGGATTTGGCTTTTCCATGGAAATCTTGATTTTTATCGGTGTTGGCGAGAGGGGCAGGACAAAAACAGGAATTTTTTGGGGTGGGGAAAAGGCTGAGCCTGGAAACTCATGCAGACTCTGGGAGGAATTAAATTCCCAATTAAATGAATTTTGGGATTTGGTTTTCCCATTGGAAATCTTTATTTTTATCACTGGAGACTGAACGATGTTGGGAATAGTGGCAGAACAAAAACAGGAATTTTTTGGGGTGAGGAGTTTCATGCAGGCTCTGAGAGGAATTAAATTCCTAATTAAATGAATTTTGGGATTTGGTTTTCCCATAGGAAATTTTTATTTTTATCACTGGAGACAAAATGATGTTGAGGAGAGGGGCAGGACAAAGAGGAGATTTTGGGGTGAGGAGTTTCATGCAGGCTCTGAGAGGAATTAAATTCCCAAATAAATCAATTTTGGGATTTGGCCTTTCCTAAGAAATCTTTATCTGTATAAATAAATACAGGCAGTATAAATAAATATGTACTAATAAATATGTATCAATAAATACGTATTAATAAATGAGGCAAAGTGGTGCTGGGGAGAGGGGCAGGACAAGGACAGATATTCCCTGTAACCCGAATTTTTTTCAGGGAATGATGGAATTTCCCCATAATCTGTTTTTTTGGGGGGAGTGATGGGCATTCCCTATATCCTGGATTTTTCAGGGAATGATGGATATTCCCTGTAACCCGGATTTTTTCAGGAAATGATAGATATTCCCCATAATCTGGGTTTTTTTTGGGAATGATGAGCATTCCCTGTAATCCAGATTTTTCAGGGAATGACAGATATTCCCTATAACCTGTATTTCTCAGGGAAGGATGGAATTTCCCCATAATCTGTTTTTTTGGGGGGAGTGATGGGCATTCCCTGTATCCCGGATTTTTCAGGGAGTGACAGATATTCCCTGTAACCCTGATTTTTTCAGGAATGATGGACATTCCCCGGATATTGGATATTCCCCAGAGCCCTGGGCGCACCCATTTCCCCAGCAATGAATAAAATCCTCCCTCGGGGCAGCTCTTTTCCATGGGAAAATTCCCTGGGAATTCCCCAGGGAAGGGCTCCGGGATTTGGGATGGACCTGTCGGGGCAGCTTCTCCTCAGCTTCCAGCGGGATGGGGCCGGGAATTCTCCTGGATTCCGGAACTCCGGGAGCTGCTCCTCCTCCTCCTCTGCCTGCCGTGGGTTTGGGAAGCAGCTGGAGGTCAGGATTTTGGGGATGGAGGCAGCTGTTTGCAGCTGGAATGGGAATTTTCAGGCAGCTGTTCCCAGGGGTTCCTCACTCCAGGGTTTTCCTGGAGAGGTTTGGGTGGGAAGGGACCTCAGATCCCACCCGGGGACACTTCCAGGGCTCCTGCTCTGGGAAATCCCCGCCGCCTTTCCGGAGCTTCCCTGCAAAAACTTCTTCCTCGGAGCCCATCCCGAGCAATCCTCTCCCACCTCCAAAGCGCCTCCCGGGAACCCCAAACCTCCGGAGCTGGAAGGGACCCCCAGGGATCATCCGGCCCAGCTGCCATCCCTGCAGGACACCCCAAAATCCGCCCTCGGCAGCCCCGGCAGCGCCGGCCAACGTTCCCGGAGCCCCGAGAGCTTTGGGAGCACGAACATTCCATGGGGAGATGTTCCAGTGCCAAAATCCCTCTGGAATAAACCCCCAAATCCATCCCAAAACTCCTGGAGCTCTGAGAGATTTGGGAGCACCATCATTCCATGGGGAGATGTTCCAGTGCCAAAATCCCTCTGGGGAAAACCCCCAAATCCATCCCAAAACTCCTGGAGTTCTGAGAGATTTGGGATCACCATCATTCCATGGGGAGCTGTTCCAGTGCCAAAATCCCTCTGGAATAAACCCCCAAATCCATCCCAAAACTCCTGGAGTTCTGAGAGATTTGGGATCACCATCATTCCATGGGGAGCTGGCCCTGTGCCTGATCCCCCTGAGCTGGAAACCCCAAAATCCATCCCAAAAATCCCGGAGCCCCGAGAGCTTTGGGAGCACAAACATTCCATGGGGAAATGTTCCAGTGCCCCAAAATCCCTCTGGGGAAAACCCCCAAATCCATCCCAAAACTCCTGGAGCTCTGAGAGATTTGGGATCACCATCATTCCATGGGGAGCTGGCCCTGTGCTCAAACCCCCAAATCCATCCCAAAAATCCCGGAGCTCTGAGAGCTTTGGGATCACCATCATTCCATGGGGAAATGTTCCAGTGCCCCAAAATCCCTCTGGGGAAAACCCCCAAATCCATCCCAAAACTGGAGTTCTGAGAGATTTGGGATCACCATCATTCCATGGGGGCTGGCCCTGTGCTCAAACATCCAGTGGGGAAAAACCCCAAAATCCAACCCAAAATCTAACCCAAACATTCCTGGAGCTCTGAGAGTTTTGGGATCACAACCATTCCATGGGGAGATGTTCCAGCGCCCAAAATCCTTCTGGAATAAACCCCAAAATCCATCCCAAAACTCCTGGAGCTCTGAGAGCTTTGGGGTCACCATAATTCCACGGGGAGCTGTTCCAGCATCCAAAATCCAACCCAACGAATCCATCCCAAAATTCCCAGAGCTCTGAGAGATTTGGGATCACCACCCCTCCTTGGGGAGCTGTTCCAGCGCCCAAAATCCACCCCAACCAATCCACCCCGAAACCCCTGGAGCTGCGGCAGTTTTGGGATCACCCCCATTCCCTGCG